GTTGTTTTCGTGTGTCTTGGGTGTCTAGGAAATAATCTGAATTATTCATGACAGACTGTCAGAACTGAGCGGTCACCCATGGGGGTTCGGGATGGACATCCCCTGACAACCCTGGACTTGGGATGCAGTGAGCTGTGATGTCACCTTTGGATGCAGTGGCTGGATCTGATTTTTGACTGCTTCCCTTGGTGTAAAGGTGGGTATGTCAGGTTTCTTATGAAGTAGCAGTGCTGTTTTAAGTTGGATCATTCTTAAAATTGTACATATAAGGAGGGCATGTGTGGGCAGGTGGGTTCCTGCACGTGGGGCAATCAAAGGATGGAAGGGAATGGACATCCGTGGGATCTCATCTAGTAACTGAACCCCATTTTGTGATGCTGCCCTGAACCCCAGCTACTCCCCCTGCCTCAAAAGAAGTTGTGGGGCATCTGGATGGCACAGTTGGTGAAGCCTCCTACTCTCGGGTTTGGCTCAGGTTGTGATCTCAGGGTCACGAGACCAAGCCCCACATCAGGCTCTGCACTACGCGGGGAGTCTGCTTGGGATTCTCTCTCCTCTGTCCCTCTCTTCCCCCTCCCCCACTCTCTCAAACAAATAAATAAATCTTAAAAAAAAAAAAAGGCAAGGAGTTGTGTGTTCCAGTTTTCCTGGAGTGAGGGGTGCTTAAAGGAAACAGTGGGAAACATTAGAAAACAGGGTGGAAGAGATCATGGTGGGCTGTAATTACTGAATGGCGGGATTGAGACGGCAGAATTCTAAGGATTCAGAGATCCTTGTCCCAGATCCCTCTCCTCCAAACCCTAAAGGCTCTGGCACCCTCTGCTACCCCATTTGGCCCATCTTCCAACAGGACTACCGCCTCTCTAGTTGGTTCCCAGATGCTAGTCCAGCCTTCCCAGTGAGTCAGGAGCCCCCCACCTGAGGGACCCATGTCCTCTCTGCTCCGGCACAGCCCTGACCACGCAGCTGGTACACGGTACCTAACAGACAACAGTATGGATTGTTAAGATTTTGAACTATTTTATTTGAAGAGATTTTCTTCTATGGTTCTAGTTATAAACACAGAACAAATGCTATTTGAGTGAGTGCATCATAGGCATCATTGTATTTGAATGAATCATACCATAATGTTTACATTTTAAGCCACACTTGAAGACACAATACAACCTTTTTAACAAAGTGTCAGTCATAACAAAACATAATTGTTCATTCTACAGACTATCAATTTTCCTAAAATGACCACTAGATATGAAAACACTGTAGAGACATCTAAAGAACCCCCATTAAGATTTTTCTTAGAAAAATGACACAATAATGCAAATTACATTTTCCTTTTCTTTACTAGTAATAAACTATGACATCCATTTGAGAAAGTACCAGCCAACACTACCAAAGTGAGATGTCAGCGGCCTTTTGCTCCCCAAAATTGACCATCTTTTACATTTAATGTGTCCTAGAGGGATGGATAAAAATGGTTATGTCAGGTGCAGAAGTTAGCATTATGTCAACTGGTGTATTTTATATCGTGTTCCTAAATCAACACAAGAAAATGAAAACAGCAAATATTCTTACATGAATGAAACATAAGAACAGGAAACCACCCTTTGATAGTGATCACACAGGCAACATCAACTGACTTTCAGTCAGGACTAGTGTCTTAATGACCATTTAGTAATGCTTCTTATGGAAGTGTTTTAAAGGCATAGGTACAAACATACACGTGAACAGCTCGCCTCTCCCCCAATAGTCACTTCCCTGACTTTGCTCCCCCTTCTCACGGGATCAAGCTGCTGAGCCCTTAGCCAAATAGGCTGTGTGCCTAGTAATTATCTTTAAAGCAGATCACATATCATTTTTTTTGAAAGATGAAGTACAGAGAAGACTATGAAAAGTAGTGAGAAAAAAAGCATACCATTAAAACAGAAACATAGGTTGTGATGTTCAAATTTAGAGAAAAGCTGGTTCATTAGAATTGTTAGTAGATCATGAAGCAGTGGACAGATTGGGTCAGGACTGAAGAGGCGGCCAGGCCAGAAAGCCCCAGTATGCCAAAGGTAGGCATCTTTGAGGATGTGGGTTATAATGATTACGGCAAACATTTTTACAAAGCGGTAAGCTCTTCCAGATCAGGGACATGGTTCATTTACGTCTATATCCCTAGTTCTTAATATTGTCCTGCACACAACAGACTTTCAGTAAGTATTTCTGGGAACCAGGGAATGGAGCTGAATCAGCTCAGTGCTTTCAAAGCCATTCTGGGTGGTATCTACTCACCTAATTCATTCACTCCTCTGTCTAAGGCAGGATGAGAAAGAGACTTCATTCATCTCATTCTGATGGATGGGCAATGGATGCCCGGCAGCACTGATGACATGGACTGTGGGGCCAATTCCTAGCACAGAGGAAAGGAGTACTACTCATTCATGATGCCACCATCAGAGAATGGTGGCACACATGTTACATATTCCCCAGCCCTGGTCTAGGAAAAAGGCATCCCGACAACTCACCCATATTCCCTTCCTGTCACTATGCTGCCTCACGAGTGCTCTGCATTAAGCCACTGCTCATTAGATGTTGGTTGATCAAGAAGGCCAAGGCCTTTCCACTCGATTTACCTGTGTGGCCAAACACGTATGGTCATGACTTTACCTGGAAATCTGAAAACATGGTATTTACAATGCTCATTAAGTAAATCTTTACTGAAAAAAAATCAAGCATTTCCTTCTAATTCCCTTTGGAGAGAAAGAGCTTTGTCCATCTCAGTACAACTTTAATTGACATCTAAGGCATTTGCAATTACTTGGGATTTTGGTTCAAAAAAACATGGCCAAGATCAATTCTCTTTGGTATTCATGCTTAATCTATTTGTTTCTTAATAGAATCCATAACCTTCTCAGTACTTCATTGTTATGACTTAACTCACACTGTCGAAATAATCAACTCCTACACTTTCATCAGAAAAACTTTCAAGGATGCTAAGGGGAGAGGCCTCTGAAACCAAGGGTGTTAAGAAGAAAGCCAGGAAGAATGACAGGGAGAACCAACCTCCCTCTACCAATCCACACTCAGGACTCACTCTGCCACTCAGACCATTCTTCATAAAATAGGCTGCTTCTGGCAAGGTGGCTCCCACTAGCAGGGGTCCTCCCACGAGCAGGGGTCCTCCCGTTAACTCCCCTCGCCATAGTGGGAGATTGGCACTCCTCAGAAGCATGTCAGAAAAGAAGGATGAAGCATTTAGAGAAAGAAAGAAAATAGAGGGATATTATCAAAGAGTACTATATTATACACCTGAAACTAATATAACACTGTATGTTAACTATACTGGAATTAAAATACACACTTAATTGGAAAAAAAAAAAAAAAGCAAAGTCCTGGGGGATGACAGGGGATTTTCAAAACAACATTCCCTCATTATAGGTAGAGTCTTCACTACAACATTGGCACCAACATGAGAACACAGCTAAATTAAAATTATCCTCAAAATGCCAACATAGCTGATATGCACAGCAGGAAGGATGATGACCCAAATCCACAGATCTGTTCCTATCGCACATTCCGCCTTGCCCAAGTACTGCTGGCAGTCCAGAGTAACAAAAACTTTGTTAGAAGTCTGTGTATCTTAGAGATATAATATGCCAGGACGCGCGTGCATGCACACGCACACACACTCACGCACACACAGATAATAAGCACATACACACACATCAAACCCAGTTTATAAAAAGAGCTTTGTGGATCGGAGTATGCCTTCACTTGGTCCAAGAATCTAATTGTTGGCATGAGGAAAACAGACTCAAAGAATGTAATCAGGAAGAGAACTGGTTGGCAGCAACAATATTACATTTTATATGATGTGGTTATTTACAAGCTAAGGTCTAATTGTCCAGAACTAATTCAACTGGCTAGAATCTTCTGAATATACAAGGTTAAGCTTTAAAAAAAAGTTAAGATCTGTAGCAACAAAAGTTAACACTATCTAAAATAAATTAGATTTTTAAATATATGCAGTGAAATTATAGGTCACTGGAAATTCAATTCCATAACGAATATAAATTAATATAAATCTATTATTAAAGTACCATCCCCAAGAAGATTTCAGTTCAGAGTTTAAAAAAAAGAAGGCTAAGTATTTGAGAATGAATGGGTATGGCTTAGAAACCCTTAAGTAGTGTAAGTAGAGTACTGATATGATTATTTGGAGACAAGATCCAAGAGCTGTCGCCAGGTCCACAATAAAGGCTTGCCTCAATTTATTTAATAGAAGTATTCCTGAAAAGTTGTGCAAATAGAATTTTTACAACCAGACCCTGAATTTCACTACTCGCAGGCCATGGTTGTCAAGAAACCCTGTAGCGACCTTGTGAGAACCTGGGGAACTCCACTGAAGTGATCAACCCTCTGCACCACGTCTATGCGGCAAATGCCTACAGGAGGTACTGGATAATGTCTGCGGGACACACAGATTTGCCATGATCGTTTTTTTGTTGTTGTGGTTCTGCGGATGTTCTTAAAGTGAGGCGCACTGTAGCTGGAATGTTAGAGCAGAAGGATGGACTCCAGCTCCCAGTTTCACTGATTCCATTACAAAAGATCAGAGAAGTTCAGAAAGAATAACATTTCTGTAAGTATACGTTTTTAAAGGGATGGAGCTAGGATTGGCAGAAGCTTTTTATTCATGTCAACTGACTTATTGACAACTGCTGGAGCTGGGTTCCATCTGACTCAATGACCAAGACAAGTAGAGCACCTTACCAAATTTCAAAGATACCACCAGAGGCCATTCCTCTTCTAACGAGCTCCTTCCCTCTCCAGCACCAAAGTTCCACAGCTATCCTCACCTTCCCTCATAAAAGCAAAGCATGAATTTAAAGGCTAAGATTAAATTAGAAAGATGCCTGATCTAAAGGTGATAAAGTTATCTATTTTTACCTTATAAACAGAACTAAGTCAAATACATTCATTAAAAGTAACCTTAAAGGCAATTTTTGTTCTTATTTGGTCTTTCCTTCCCTTCCCATTTAAATCTAAGACTTGATTTAAAAAATATATATATATATATCTCCATCCTTCTAAACAATATATCCTCTCTTTTAAACAATACAATTGTTTAAAACAATTGCCCAGCAATGTAACTTATCTGACCACATAAATTTGCAATCTGCCACCTAAATGAAATAAGAGGTTACATCTGTCTATTCAGTACACATAATTGCAAAAAAGTTTGGAAAAATAGCTGAGAATGTTTTTAAGAAAGGTTTTGGGAGGACTGGATTCTTGCAAGGACTCACTGTAGGGCTCCATCATTGTAAGTTTCCTGGAAAGCAGTGTGCAAATAAAATAATTAAACATACAACCCTATTTTTAAACCACTGGAAGTATATGTGGGTATGAACAGGGGAGAAAAGGGGTGAATGACAGTGTTAATATAAATGTTTGTCAGGTAAATGAATAACAACAATAAAAATCTCTCCCTTAAGGTATTAATGATATTTCAAGTGACCGAAATAAAACGGATTTTAAAATGATCTTTACCATTCACGTCAACTATTGACTTTGGCCCTTTACTAAAGCAGACACAGTGAATCTTCTTTTTGATGATCAGTTTCAGTCACTGGCCCAAGGGTACCATATTTGGAAGAAAATATTATCATGGATTTGCTCCCATCATTTAAAAATCAATAATTAAAAAAATAATAAAGTTGGTCTCTTTTCTCCACAAGTTTTCAAGTAATTAGTTCAAGTAAGCTTATTTACAGCTATTGTACATGTGACCTACTTCAACCCACGTTTTCCTTTTAGAAATCAGCCTCCCTGGAAATGGGACACTACATTTTTTTTTTCTTTTTCTGCCTTGAACCAGGTTTCTTTTAAATCCTAAGTCAGTTCAGTCATGTCTCTGCTTTATTGGGCAGATAAAGAGAGGAGACCAGCAAGTTGTGTCCAAAGGCTGGGAAACGCCTGAATGCTTCCCAACTGTCTGAGAAGATGTTGTACTTGAGGAAAACTCGATGTTCCAGGCTGGTGGACAGGGTCACGTCTCTGCTCATGATGTAGATGCCATCGTTGTGAAGCGCGCAAGTCAAGTTAAGACCCGATTTGGACGTGTTCTCTTTGAGGTAGAGCCACTGCCGCGTGACCGTGTTGTAGGACTGCACGGTGAGCATGTCCTCACTCTGGCTGCTCCTCCGGTTGGGCCCCAGTTCATGCAGACAGCCGCCCACGATGTAGATGGTCTCCTCAACAGATACCATCTGCTGCTTACGAATGTGGACATCACAGGTTTCCAAGAGTGTCCAGATGTCGGCCGAGGGGCAGTACTGCAAAATGTTCATGTTGCGGTCTGAAAGGAAGAAAGAAGCCAAATGAGGACACGGCCACAAGGAATACCACTGCCCGTCTATGCTGTGATAAACATCTGCCCTCACCTGAATCTTCTGGTCACACAGAGGCAAAACTATTCCAGAGAAGCAGAGGTTGGGACAACAGCTTTCCAAATGGCTGGGAGGAGATCTGTTTAGAATCATCCCCCTTATCTGCATCAGGTGTGTCCCCTCCCTGGGAGGCCCTCGGAATCAAGAGGGCCAGGCCACGGTCCTCTGTGATTGGAGCATTTTAGAACCACCAGTCCAAGGTAAAAAGAATCAGAGCCTTGGAAATCTCAATAGCTCAGAATTACTGACTTCTTAATACAGATGACAGGCAGAACCCCAAGGGGATCTACTCTTGACAACCAACTCTACTAAATAAGGCAAATGAGCCACGCAAGATCTCCAGGGGCTAGTCTAAAGGAAATAACACACAATTCCAAGTCAGGAGAAACCCCAGAAAGTCTCACCTGTGGCCTTCAAGCCGTGGAATCACTTGGCAATTCCATGTCCCAACTCTAACAGCAGAGACATACTCACAAAGGCCCTTCCCTCACCCCCTCTCCCCGTGCCTGCTTCCCAAGAGATGGCTAGTTCTTGTGTGGATAAAATCAGAAAGTCAATCAAAGGCTCCTTTAACATTATCTTGAATTCATAGCTGCTTTAAGGAAAAATATTGCCTACTCTCGTTTTGAAAAAACACTTGCGAAATTTAAAATATCTAGTTTCATTTTTCCTTTTTTAATTGTTCTTTTTTATCCCCTTCTCCTCTAGGAAAGAATAAGTGGCATATTTTAGCCTCAGCAGAAGAAAAAAATGCTCTGAGTTATCAGAAAGAATGAACTTTCTGTTTGTTGCTGTTGTTTAAACAAACAACAAAATCCACCAGCATAAGAGACAAAGTCAGCTTGGGAACAGACATGGAACTAAAGGGTACAACGCTTCCTCCCGACACAAAAGGACCCACCCCAAGTTAGCAAGGCTGAAGGAGCTCCACCACCACCTCTGGTACCGAGTCAAGAGGGCACAGAAAGAACGGAAAGGAGACTGAACCCTGTGTGTGCACATGTCCCCATGCCTGTAGAAATTTCAGAATTGCTACAGCTTTAGGAAACTGTCCCTCTCTTTTCCACCCGCACTAATACCTCCCTGTACTTCTTTTTATTGTAGCTATTATAATAAAACTCATTCCGGAGACAGTCCAAGGGAGTTTGGTTCCAGTTGATCAAAAAGTGCTCCTTAGTAACCCAGCTTCCCACTCCACGAATAAAGGACTTATTCTAGTGAGGCTTCCCTGTATTTCTCAGTTCCAGGTCTGAAGGTCTTCCCAGGTCTTCTGTAAATGTTTTCTCTCCTCACCCAACCAAGGGCTCAGACCATGATGAGGTGGTTTGAGCTGGTGGAATAACCTTTTTGCTTTTACGTTGAGAGGTGATTCTGAACTTTAACAAATCACCCTTCTTCCCTTGAGTGGTTACTATTGCTTTCTATTGAATTTCTTTTAATTTCCTCAGTGCCTACTCTGGAATTAATATAATCAAACAGCTACCATAAAAATCGTGAACTATTACTTCCTAAATTTTAAAAGTCTACCTAACTTAAGAAGTCAGCAGGCCAAGAACCCAACTTTGAGCCCTGCATTTTGTTTTATGACAATTATGATTCCTTATTTTAAATCCAGGTAACTATTAGGAAGTGCTGGGAAGATCCCACGCAGAAGAGGAGGGGTGTTTCAGAGTACAAGGAACTGTCCCGCCCTCTCATCTCAGAAAACCCATTTTCAACCCTTACACAAACATCCATCCATCCACATCACCCAACCATCCCATCACAGGTATTTGGCTTGGGGAATCCGGGGCAGGAATCACCATGGGTGGCCCAAGTGAAGAAGGTACATTAGTAGTGGCTTGAGAAACTAGAAAACACACAAGCAAGGGTTTTCCAGGTCAAATCTAAAGAACATTTGCTCAGCCAGGGTCATGGAAAAACTAGGAAATCTACCAGCAGAGTACTCCTTGGGTTACAGTGCTGCCTGTCAGTGCTTCCCAGCTCCTGGTCACAAGAGAAGCCAAGGGATATGTGTGCATTATGTCAGCCCACAGGGTGCATTCTGTGTTACAAAATCAAGGGAGGAATCAGAATTCTTAGAAATGTTCAAAAGTAAATAACTGTATTTACTTTCCTAGGAGAAGAGGCACACAGACACACACAGAGGTACATATGCACACACAGGAATTCTCTGGGGGCTATGGTTTCATTAAGCACATGAAGTTGACCACTGTACCCAAATACCAAAGTTGAAGGTAAAAGAAATGGCTGCTAGATCTCTCTCTCTCTCGCTCTCTCTTTTTCAATTATTTGTCACCAAAAAAAGCTGGCAATTATCTTATCTTCAGTGGAAAGTCACTAGAGAGGGGCACTGGGAATAGCTCCACAGGGATGAAAACTTGAGGGTATTTAAAAAAAAAAAAAAGCTCACTGCTTCCCATGCACTCCTCTTGGTCACTGCCTCTCCTTAAATGCATAAACATAGCACCTGTACTGAGTTCAACAGTGGCCCCCCAAAAGATATGTCTACCCCCTAACCCCAAAACCTTTGACTGTGACCTTACTTGGAAAAAGGGGCTTTGAAGATGACATGAAGTTAAGGATCTCAACATGAGATCATCCTAGATTACCCAGGTGGGCTCTAAAATCCAATGAGGAATGTGTCTTTATAAGAGACAGAAGCGGAAAAGACAGAGGAGAAGATGTGTGAAGATGGAGGCAGAGCCTGGAGTGATGCAGCCACCAGCCAAGGAGCACCTCGAGCCACCAAAGCTGGAAGAGGCAGGGAAGGATTGTCCCCCAGCGCCTTCAGATGGGATGTGACCTCCCACACCTTGATTTCAGACTTCTGGCTTCTAGAAATCTGAGAGAACACACTTATATTGTCTTAGGCCACCAAGCTGTAGTTGTTTGTTAAGTCAGCCATAGGAAACTACAACACCACTCACCATCCTCCCCACCACAGCAATTGCTTAGAGATACTCTAAGAAGTGTTATTCAGAATCTTTTGCACACACAGTAAATTGGATGCTCATAAAACACTTGACGTTTAACTTCTTCCTCTAACATAAATCCCCCAAACAAGACATATTTGGTGAAAAGATTTTTTGGCACCTACACTCTATTAGCATGTGGATTTCTGTCCTTTACAAAGTTACATATCAGCATCCTTTCTCCATACTTATTGTCAGCGGGACAGTAGCTCTGTCCTCCCATGCTGTACCATAAAGGAGAGAGAGGTTATTTCACTATGTCAGATATAATGGTAACTCTACTACCTCAATGTGACTAAAAGTCCTAAGAGTCCTGTTATACCTTTTCTATAAGTTCTGGGCATTTTAGTCAGATAAACCAAATTAAGAAATAAATTTCTTTGGCCAAGGGGGATCTGGGTGGCTCAGTCAGTTAAGCATCTGCCTTCGGCTCAGGTCATGGTCCCAGGATCCTGGGATCGAGCCCCGCATCGGGCTCCCTGCTCAGCGGGAAGCCTGCTTCTCCCTCTCCCACTCCCCCTGCTTGCGTTCCCTCTCTCACTGTGTCTCTCTCTGTCAAATAAATAAATAAAATCTTTTTTAAAAATTAAAAGAATAAATTTCTTTGTCTAAGAGGTAACTTGGACACAAGTGGGGGAGAGAGATAAAAGGAACGACACACCTCTTCCTGGTGGCCCACCCCTGCCTCTCTCAACACAACCAAGCTGTTTATTATTACTATCACGTGAGACGCTTCCTACCAAGAACAGCAGTATAAAACCTACTGGAGAAACTTATCTCCAAATTATTAGTACCAAATACCCACCAAAAAAAAGTAGTTTAATAAATAACACAACCGCCTCCCACCTCTGGTCAGGAAAGAATTCTCTTACATTCATGTCTCTTATAATCCTCTTAGGATATGTGTACAACAGCCTCGAGCTGAGTTTCTGGAAACTGTCTGATATGTTTGTGCTCAAGAAGGAAGAAAGTGAAAACAAAGATCCACGAGGATGTCCTGGCCCTACATTCCATAGTGTTAAATGTGTTTGGGAGAAGGATGGCAGTTACCCAGTCAAGTCACAAGACAGCTGGTCACAAGGCTGCATTTCCAGAGCAGAAAGAAAATACATATTCTCTTCATAGCATCCTCTACTCCGTTCAATTTTCATGCTCACACAAAGGCATCAAAGGTCCCTCCTGTCCAAACCACCCCTGTAATACACAACTCTCTTCCTTCCAGATATGTAAATATCCAGTATATAATGTATGAAATTACAATATGTACACCAGAGTGTTTCCTTGGCACCCTCCTGCCCTTCCCCAGGCTGCTGAAGCTCACATAGAAGAGGATCACTTACTTGGCCCCTTCACTTACCTCTGGTGGTATATCCTCCAATGACGTAAATTTTTCCCTTACACTCACACGCAGAGAACTCAGCCAAAGGATTTGGTAAGGGTGCCACAAAATTCCAGGCATCCTGCTCAGGATTGTAACACTCAACATTAGAAACGGCCTGCCCACCAATGGCATAGAGTTTTGAGTTAACAGCCACAAGTTTGAAGTTAGACCTGAAAGGGAGATACAAAGGCCCAGAGAGTCAGTTTTTTTAACTTGACTTTTTCTTGACTTGACATTGACTTGACATTTCTGACTTGACAAGAAGGCAATGGCATGAACTGCTAAAGCAGATTGAGGAATGTGCTGGATATCTAAAGAAAATTAGCTCTCCAAGTTGGGTGCCATTCTGCCTGGGGACAGAGGAATGACCAAATGATATCTCAAATTTTACTCCTACCCTAGAATTCACAAGAATGATGAATTTTCCAAATTTTAGCAATTGGAGATAAGCAATTCAATATAACCAAGAGTAGTCTTGCTTAGCCTTATGCCAAGAACCAAAGATATTTTGTATATAGTAGGCTTAATATTTCTTTCAGCAGTGGGAGCAAGTGCGAAGGGAAGAATGCATAACCACCTCCCTCCCTTGTCTCTCTACTCAGAATGTTTCCCATTCTTCCTACCTAGTGGGTAGGCTCTGTGTTAGGTACACACTAGCACCTCCTACACAGACAGGCATATGCTAAGGGTGGTTGCTAAAGGGTAGTTCAAAGACCCCTTTACCACAAGCATACCAGGCAGATCATTTGCCCCCCGCCCTCCCCTACTCCATAGGAGAGCATCTTTATATTGTTTCACAACATGTAACACACGGCTACATAAGCACTGAACTAAACATATTTTGATCCAGCACTCTTAGGGTGTCTACACATGTTAACTCAACAAATACTTAAATCAACAAATGCTCATTTATCATAATAGAAAATAACTTTAGGGGACCTGGGTGGCTCAGTCTGTTGAGCGTCTGCCTTCAGCTCAGGTCATGATCCCAGGGTTCTGGGATGGAGCCCCATGTTAGACTCCCTGCTTAGCGGGGAGTCTGCTTCTCCCCCTCCTTCCTGCTCATGCTCTCTTTTGCTATCTCTGTCTCTTTCAAAAAAAATAAAGAAAATAATTTTAAAAAGAGAATACACTGGTTTTAAGCCCCATATTCAGTAATACAATTAAACACTGCTCATCAGCTTCAGATGCTAAAGTCTCATAACTTTTGAATTGAAAAGAAAAAATTAATTTGTTTCAATGTAGTGCACAGAGATTAATGGACTCCTTGAAGACTAGACAGGATAAACGTTTGGGCCAGTCTCCCTGATCGGTGCAGCAGTCCCAAGTTTATAGGACTGTGAGCAGAACACGATGCAACAGAAAGACCCGAAGCAGCTCTCTGACCCTAGCCCAAACACCCCACTTTGCCATCGCTGGTATGGGGATAATAACCATCACAGGATGGTCAAGACAACTACAGCCAAGTTTATGAGTAAGTACTACACTGAGATAAGATACTATCAAGATAATTTCTGAGTTTTCTAGTATTTGAAATAAAGAAAGTAGACCAGGTAAATTTTAGAGACCACATCTACTGCCAACACAACAATGTCTTCAAAAGTAACAATATCCTAAGAAAGAATGGGGGTAGAGCCCACATACGCGCTTAAGAGGGCAGATAAGGAAGAAACAGGGAATGAGTCGTCCATGTGTGATCTCCTGACAGATGTGTCTAATCAACACTGATACACAGTGACGTAGGACATGCTGGGAATAGCCAGCTACTAAAACAGTAAGATGTTTTCAAAGGTGCCCGTAATGTGTACATTTAAATGAGTCTCAGCTTGGTTTTGTTTTTCAAATCAGAGAGTGAACAGAGCACTCCTCAACAAGAACTTCATATTGTCCATTAAACCTAGCCAGACATTCATATTTCATGTCAACAGACTTCGCTGGGGTGGCAGTTACTGGGGGGTCTCTGCTTCATGTTGCTTACTTTTCCTGCTGCCAATGGTCCTTAAAATCTGACCATGGTGCCCTCTCTGTGTGTGCAAATTTGGGGGAACCAAAGGAAATAAAACTTACAAATAAGCACTAAATTTTACGAGCCCGCTATTTGTTTTTGCTCCCCAAAGGTACACAGATAGTAAATTTTGTAAGATCAAAACAGTTTTTAATATTCATCCAGCATAATCATTTGTCCTAAGTAAACATGTAAGGGCTGAATGAATAGGCAGTTAAAAGTAAACAATTCCATCTCTCCAGACCCCAGCATGCTCAAATTCACTTGAAGAGAAGAAGCTTTTCAATATTGAGTTGAAGATGAAATTGCCACCCCAAAACAGACCACTTAGTGAAGAGGCATACTACTAAGGATTATGAGCCCAGGCTTATACAGGGAAATCTCAGCTCCACTACCCAACTGTTATGTGACCTTGGACAAGTCACTGAATCTCAGTTCATCTGAGGCTAAGTTTCCCTGTCTGTGAAGTGGGGAAAAGCACATATCACACACAGTAAGAGTTGAAAAGGGGAACACTTGCAGAAAGGAGTCACGAGAGGGAATGCTTTTCTGTATGTCATAAGCCTAAGTTTCTTAACTCTGAGAGGGTCTGTTTCTCATTTGTTAACTGCAACAGTCACTGGCTAGAATGTATTCTGGAATTACATACAAAGTGCTCTCTCATCCATAAATTCTCACCATGTAGCACCTCATTTCCTACTCTCTGAAAATAACTCTTTCACTCTTCACCTCCTGAATGGTGAAAGTATCAATCCAAGCTATTGATTTTTTAAAAAAAAATTATCATCTCTAGTGTTTTCTTGATATTGATCCCTGACATAATACCCTCAGGAGGTAAAAAGAATTTTTGAACCAAATAATGATGTGTTGTAGCTATATCCTTGACTTACAGTAAATAGAAATAAAAGTGGGGGGGAAAAAAGATGCTGATTTAATTACTACTTCACTCCGAGGAAATGAAGAGCTCAGTAAATCCTTAAAAACTAAGTGACATGAAACATGCTGAGCACTGGTACACAGATTAAGGGTAGCTGTATACAATTGTAGGGCGGCAGGTGACACAGAGGTCTGAGTGGCTTCAAGTGCTAACCCTATAACTGTGCAAGCTTATGAAACTGAGCCTCTGTTTCCCCTTTGGGGTGATGGAGCCAATAATACTTATCCCAAAGAGATGCTGTGTGCATGAAATAGGAAGTGACATCTAGAACAGCGTCTACAACCTGCAGCCCAGAGTAAGAGCTCAAGAAATAGAAACCATTGTTACAGCTTGCTACATAGAAAAGTTTGTTGCCATTAGAGTAAATATCAGAGAGAAATGGCAAGATCTTTTCTCACATCTTTTCTCAACCACTCAGAAAAGGCTCCTAAGGTCTGTGGAGCACTCGGGTCTTTGTGTCCCCTCCTTCCCCTTCTGCTGCCTACCTTCTGCCCCTTCCCTACGGATTAACCTCCCTTGGCCACTAGTAGGTTGCTACCTACTAGGTGTCTGAGAGACTAGAGCACACAAAGCAACTACTGGCCAAAATCAGAGACAGTGCGGTGGTGGTGCGTGGGGGGGCGCCGGGGGGGGGGTAATGAATAGACACATAATTTTCTTTCCTTCACACTATTCTCCGGCTCCACTGCAACCTTAACCAGAAAGGACAAAAATCGCTCGAGGGTTCCATGACTCTAGAAATGCCCTAAAATACTAAACTTTGGCTCAGAGAAAAAGGGGACAGCTAAGGCTGACAACTGTAATTCCATCTCTGCCAGGAGACTTGTTTAACTCTCTCCCGGCTTTGCTGTATTCACACACAGAACAATTGCAGAGCAAAAGTGCCAGGCAATCAGAGAGACGAGAGACATCAGAAATGGAAAAATTAATGAACGGATTGCTGCAATAGTGGCCAGTTCCTGCAAGTTATCACCAATTAAAGTGAGGAGGGAAGGCAAGCAATTTTGTGGGCGCACAGGCTTCTACATGCGAAGAGTTATGTCTTGACAACTCCCAAGATCAAATCCACATGCAGACCACTGGGCAGTGCTGCATCCCTGGACTTCAAAGCATCCTTTCAAAGACTGCTATGTACTCATACTGCTATTTTCAAGTGTGCGGGCACAACACTAATATCTCTTTCTTCCCTTCTTTCTTTTGGAGGGTGGGGGAGAGCATTATTGGTCATATAGCACCATTTTTCTCCAAGATGCAAATGGCTTTACAGCATCTCTCAATCCTAGTGTTCCTGCCTGTCCCTTACTACTTAAGATTCTGAGATCAGCACCCAATTCAGTCACTGGGGAATGTGGGCTGCTCTGCATTTGACCGCTTTGTCAAAGTAAAACAGTACAGGCACATCACAAAGGCAGTGAATCAAGGTAGATGTGAAATGCTGTGTAACCAGAGGCCAAAATCTGCTTTTCCTCAAGGTTCTAAGTTTCCTCTGGTGTTTCCAGAAACTGTGTTAGACACATTATCCGGGAACAATCCCATTCTAGGTTTCATTTTTACTTGTTTCATCATCTAAACTCAATTATTAACTCCTTGAGGACCGGAACCATGTCGTCTTTGTTGTTCACCCAATAGTGACTAGAAAGATGCTAGACATAAAGGCTGTGGTGAAGTTGAAACACACATAATGAAATTTTAAAAAGCAGCACAGCACCACAAAGTATTTGCACTCCACTTCCCTAAAGAAAATAATTTTAAAGAAAATTTTACAAGTGCACATAAAGATGGTCACTGCCAGTTTATAAGCCAAATTGTAAATACTCTAAATGGTTATATCTATTCGATGGATATTTACATTTTGGTTACTCTACTTATTACACGCCTTAGCAATTTGGTTAACTCTCTATGCCTCAGTTTCTGATTCTGTAAAATGGGAACCTGCCTGATAAAGTCTTTGTGAAGAATAAGTGAGGTAATACATGCAAAGCAGTAAGAACAGTCCCTAGTACAGAGTAAATGTTCAATTAAATGTTACCTATTATTTTTCAGCTATTCTAAATAACTATAATGACTGTTACAAGATAAAAATATTCACGTTACATTTTTAAAAATAAAATCATATATTCACTTTTATTACAATAATGTATGATATATTCCATAATTCAAAACAGTAATGCATTTTAAGCATCTATTATTTACTGGACACCATGTTAGCAACAGGAGTATACAGAAGCACTGAATTGGACCTGATTGGAAGGGAGAGAAACAAACGTAAGCAGAAAATTTCAATTCAAGGTAGAGAGTGTGCTAGAGAAGCACAGAATTTGAATATTTAGTCTAATTGAGAGTTCAGGAAGGGACTCCCAGTTGAGTTGACGTCAAATCTGAGTCAAAGTACGAGAGAGATAAAGAAGGTTACAAATTCCAATATGGCATCCAATTTTAAAATTTGGTGGGTAAAAATATGTGTAGAAAAAAAAAAAGTAACTCTGGGGTGCCTGACTGGCTCAGTCAGTGGAGCATTCAACTCTTAATCTCAGGGTTGTGAGTTCAAGCCCCACCCTGGGCCTAGAACCTACTTAAAAATAAATAAATAAATAAAAGTTATTTAAAAAAAAAAGAAAAATAAAATAACTGGAAAATACCTGAGAATAACTGCAATAAAAAATATACAGACTATAACAAAGATAATAAAATAAACTTTTCCTGAAGGACCAAAAGACCTAAATACATGGGAAAACAAACCATTTTTCTAGCTGCAAAGTATTTTGAAACTATAAATCCTCCTCTGAGCAGGGAGCCAGATGCAGGGCTCGATCCCAGGACCCTGGGATCATAACCTGAGCCAAAGGCAGACGCTTAACAACTGAGCCACCCAGGGGCCCCAAGCTGATTCTAAAGTTTATCTGAAGGGGAAAATGTACAAAGAACAGCTAAGAGAATCAAAATAAAACAGAAAAAAAAAAAATGGGTCTCCGTTCCACGAGACAACAAAATAGCTTACCAAGCTACAATAATTTAAAAGTGTGCTATTGGTAAAGGAATGGCCAATCTGTCAATATGGAAACAGGAAAATTAGCATCTGATAACTGGTTGTACAAATCACAGTGAGGATTGAGGCCACCGGGACATTTAGAAAACATGTTATAACCTTACATTATACCTTACATAAAAATAAATCCCAAACACATTCAGATATAAATGTAAAAAGGCAAAATCATAAAAGTAATATAGATTATAAGACAAATGAATATTTGTATATTCTTAACTTGTAGAAGCCTTTCCTGTGCAAGATTAGAAGCTAACAGGATATACATGACAGGGGCGCCTGGGTGGCTCAGATGGTTAAGCGTCTGCCTTCGGCTCAGGTCATGGTCCCAGGGTCCTGGGATCGAGTCCCGCATCAGGCTCCCTGATCCTTGGGAGCCTGCTCCCCCCCCCGCTCTCTCTCCCTCTGTCTCTCATGAATAAAAATAAAATAAAATAAAATTTAAAAAAAAAAAAGGATATACATGACAAATTTGACTCCAAAAACATTTAAATTTCTTCATGTAAGAATACATGATAAGGGCGCCTGGGTGGCTCAGTTGGTTAAGCGACTGCCTTCAGCTCGGGTCGTGATCCTGGAGTCCCGGGATCGAGTCCCGCATCGGGCTCCCTGCTCGGCGGGGAGTCTGCTTCTCCCTCTGACCCTCCCCCCTCTCATGCTCTCTCCATCTCATTCTCTCTCTCAAATAAATAAATAAAATCTTTAGAAAAAAAAAAAGAATACATGATAAACCTGACGTCCAAAACTGGAGGTTCACAATGCCGGTGTTGTCCTACGATTTGTTCGGTCTGCAAGGTTTTTGTTATTGTTGATGTTGGTTTTTTCAAAGCAGTAAGTTGCCAGCCTTTAAAAATCAGGGCATCTGGCTGTCTGGCAACGCCATTCCTCACTTCTAGGGGGCAGCAACGAGCTGTGGCTGAGAGAGGAGGGGCCCTCTTGTGGCGGGGGTGGTAGCTCTCTGGTTCATCATCACTCCAACCCACCCCTCTGCTCATTGACTTCACCAGCCTGGTCACTTTAGGGATTTCATTTTTGAGGCCTTCTGGTAAAATAAAGGCAGGGGGGAAACAGTGCAACACTGCCTAAGAGACAAGAGATTAATTCTACATATGTAAATAGAATTTCTAAAAAAGAATATGAAAAAGATAAAGCAATTTTCTTTTTCATTGGCAAAGGCCACTTATAAAATATATACAAAAGGCCAATAGACATCTGAGAGGAAAAATTTCTCTTCCAAGCAGAAAGAGTCACATCAGTGTTTGCCCATTGGATTGGTAAAAATAAAAAATGATAATATCTTGTCTTGGCAAGAGTATAGAAACTGGCAAGCTCAGACACTGTTGATAGGAGAGGAAATCTGAACAATGTTTTAATGGGCAATTTGGCAGGAGCTACCAAAATTTAAAATGTATATACACTTGGGTCCACCTATACAGGGATTCCAGGAATTTGCCATATAGGACTACTGATATATGCCTGCTAAGATAGGCACATATATGCCAAGACGTTCAATACGGCATTTTTTTTTAAGATCTTATTTATTTGAGAGAGAGTGAGCGAGTGAGAGAGCATGAGTGGGGGGAGGGGCAGAGGGAAAGGGAGAAGCAGACTCCCTGCAGAGCAGGGAGCCTGACATAGGACTCGATCCCAGGACCCCCGGATCATGACCTGAGCCAAAAGCAGATGCTTAACCGACTGAGCCACCCAGGCGTCCCAATATAGCATTGTTAATAATGGCAAAGAGGAGCAACTTAAATGCTTATGAATAAGGGAGGGGCTGATTACATTATGGTACAGCCATAGGCTGGAATACTATACAGCTCTTAATAAGAGTGAGATGGCTCTACATTTGTTGATATAGAAAAAACTCTCCCAGTGGAAACATTAATGGTCATAATAATCAGCACAGCCTAATCAACTCTAAGGTAAAAATACATATAAGATGCATACACACCCCTACATGTACATGCATACGTACATTTTTCCTAGCTAACAATTGTCAACATACTTATGTTTACATAAGTGCACATTTACAACATATATTTACAAATGTATAATATATAAATATATATCAATAGATAGACATATCTTTTACTCTGTGGTTTTTCATGTCATTCGCAATTTTTCTAAGCATGTATTCATGCATTACTTGAATACTTTTTTCCCCCCGAGGACAGAAAGGATATTCCTATATAGAAAAAGAAAAAAGAAAGAAAGACTACCAAGGATTTGTAAAGAAAGAAAAGGGACACCTGGGTGGCTCAGTTGGTTAAGCATCTGACTCTTGATTTTGGCTCCGGTCATGATGTGTCAGCGTCATGAGATGGAGCCCCGCAACAGGCTCTGTGCTGGACATGGAGCCTGCTTAAGATTCTCTCTTGCTCTCTCCCTCTGCCCCTCCCTCCTTCTCTAAAAAGAAAAAAAAAAAAAAAGAATTCTGTGAGGTGTTAGAGTTCAAGCTGGATGGGGGGCGGGGAGAGCCTATTGAGCACCAGTTGATACAACTGGAGATGTGTGTAGAGGTGACAACCTGTTGGGCCCTCCACCCCCAATCTGAGTGCCATCCATAACCACTGAATGGTCTTTGTTACTTCAATTAAAGCTCTTAGAACTTGCTTTAAAAATAACACTTCTGATACCAAATCTTAAACACAGTATCATCTCAGTGGTATAAATAATACACTAAAAAGGGCTTGGAAGAAAACATGCCAACCTGTACATGGCATTGCCTCTGTGAGGGAGGGAGTAGGAGTGATAGTCTTTCTGTTTCTTGATTCTTTTCCATTTTTCCACTTTTCTAGAATAATTATGTATTATTTTCATCATCAGAAAAAAAAAAGAACACTTTCCTGAAGGAATTTTATGTTATAGTAGAAATAAGGCCACTGTTCCCCCCTGGCCTCGGTACCCGTAAGTCAAGTATGTGTAATGGTCTTCCTATTCCTGTTACGACCTTCTCTGCCTGGTGGTGAGTCCCCCAACTACTTGCTCCACACTTCAGAGTAGGGCCCATGTGGGGGTTGAGATGGATACAAGTGGACCAGAAGAAAGAGCAGTCCTGTCCTTCCGTGGGTCACACTGATTCTTCTCCCGACTTGGGTGTGAATGGCTCCGGGCCGTCTTGAGTCCTACCATCTTTCTTTCCTACCATCTCTCCCTGTATCTGCTCTGCTCTTCCCCTTCCTTTTCCTTTCCTAGCTCCATTCCCTACTCTCCTTCCCCTCCCCTCCCCCTTTTCCTGTCTTCAAGTCACCCAAGGGTATGTTGGGAGGGATCTGAGGATGGGAAGGGAGAAGTCTGGGTGGACTGAAATGTTCTAATTCTGTAGGTGACCACTGCCAGGCTCAAATTTTGGATCAATGACGAAACTGGGAAGGAAGGGAGATGCAAAAGAGAGGATACAAAATAAGAAAGGCAATCCGATGTACAACTCTAATGGTTATCTCCTGAGCACAGATTGGGGCCCCAGTGTGGAAAGCTTCAAAGTCAGTAACAACAACAAAATCTTCCCAAGACAGCATTACAGGTCACTGCCCAGTGTGTCACTGTAATGAGGATTAGAGCCTAAAAAATAAAAAAGGTAAAAATGAAAGCAAACTTTAAAAAGTTTTCTTTTAACGTATCCTTTTAGGAAACCACAGACATCTTTTTTTTCCCCACTGGGAGAGAGGCAAAATAAAATAAAATAATAAAATAAAATAAAAAAAGGCAGTTTGCCTCAAAGCACAATACCTGCAAGGAGACTACTCAGCTAGCTGACCTCACAGGGACCACTTCTTCCTCGCAAGTTCTCAGTTCCTTGGGAACTTTGCCAGAGTCAAGGCCAGCGACACTCCTGAAGATGTCATTCCCACCTCAGCACAACCTCCTGTGACTGCCCAGTAAGCATCAGGGGAATGAACTAATGAGCAAGTGAATGAATGGGAACGGGAAAGAAGCAGCACGGCTGGGTGCTTACCTCTTCTGGTTCATGGAGGCCACCTGGAGCCACTCGTTGGTGCTGGGGTTGTAGGAGTGCGCAGCCGAGATCTCCTGGCTAGTGATCCTATACCCGCCCACTATGAAGAGGTAGTTGTCCAGGATGGCGGACCCGTAACCCCTGACGTTCACCAGGTCGGGAGGAAGGTTGTTGGCCAGCGGAAACCAACGTTCAGTCATCTCCTCATACCTGAGCATGGACGGGGGCTCCCCTTGGTAGGGGTGAGGGGCCAGGGGCCCTCCCAAGAAATCCCCCAGGGCTACGAGGACGGGAGTCCCGGTCATCCGGGCCTCTCTCAGCCTCTGCTTCAGGCTGACATCCCCGGGGGCTTGAGGAGGAGCCCCCAGGAGGTGGAACTGGGGCTTGCACAGCACCTCGTGGAAGTGGACCACCATGAAGCGCAGGCAGGCCTCCTGCAGGTCGGGCAGCCCGTACACCTGCGCCAGGCGGTACAGCTCCAGGCAGTTGGTGAGCCGCACCTGGGACAGCAGCAGCTGCAGCAGAGACGTGACCTGAAGGAAGGAGGCCGCTTCCACCAGCTCCGCCAGCAGGCTCACCTCGTCCATCTCCTCTTCCTCCTCCACCCCACCGCCCTTCTCCGCCCGCGGGCCCAGGAGCCAGCCTTCGCGGGCCCCGCCGGCGTTGATGAAGTCCAGCACCAGGCGCAGGCCCGGGGCGCTGAGGCCGCGCAGCTGCTGCACCTCGGGGCCGCCGGCCTCCTGGCTCAGGGCCTCGCGCATGCCGGAGCGGTAGAGGGCGCGGAAGTAGTCGCTCTGTTCGATAAGCTTCCTCTTGCTCACCGGGTAGCAGCGGTCCTCCAGGCGGATCTGCACCATCTCCTCGGCCGACATGGCTGGGGGGCCGGGGGCCGCGGGGGTGCCCGCCAGCTCTGCGCGCTCGCCTCCCCGCCCCCACGCGCTCGCCGGGTTCCGGGTTGGGCGCGCCGAGGGATGGCGCCGCCGAGAAGGAGGGAGGCGACGGGCCGCCGCCCGCTCCCGCGTTCGCCCAGCCTATCTGGGTCGCGGCGGCGCCCCCGAGGCAGCCCCTCCTCCTGGTCCCGGGGGCGGCGGCTCAGCCTCGCTCCCCCAAAAGCATCGGCCCTGCCCGTCTGCTCTCCCTCAGCTCCAAAAAAGGCCCGGCCGCCGCGCGTCGGGAGGCGGCCGCCGTCCTCGCTCGGATTCTCGGGGCCGCGTCAGCCGCCGAGGGGATCCCAGCCCCCAGCCTGCAGCCTCCTCCCACGCCTCGCCTCTCACTTCCGCCCGCAGGACCCCTGCTGCCCGCCAGACCTGCGAGCGGGATCCGGCTTTCAGGGAGGGCAGGAGGGCTGCGGGCCCCGGCGCCCGGGCTGTGGCCGCGTCCCCGCAAGCCTCCCCCGCACGCCGGGCGCAGCAGCTCTGCGGCCTGCGGGGTCCGCGGCGATGCGCCGAGGGGGGCGGGGGGGACCGGAGACGAGGTGAAGCCAGTCTGCTCTTTCTTCCACGCTGCTTTACAAGCGGAAAGAGAGAGAGAAGAAGAAACAGGCGTGGGGGGACCGGGATGAAGGGAGTCTGGGGTCCTGGGAGTCAAAATGGCATCACATCTGGGATCGCCCATCTAGCCCAATCCGGCATAGTGTCCCAGGGGGGCTGAGGCACATAGGCCGTCTCTGCACACACAGGTGACACCCAGAGCTGATTCTTCGCCATGGTCATCGTGTAGGAGCCATCTTGGAGAAAGAAGGTCCAGGCAGATGGCAGCAGGTTCTGCAGGGCTCACTGGGGTGCACAGTACAGCAGATGAAAAGGGTCGGGAAGCAGAGGAGCTTGTATTTGCTGCTGGGGCCTGTTAATCCTCTTTATGCTATTAGAAGAAAGACAGGAGTGCAACTCAATTTAAGTTACTTCAGTTTCGTTGGGCCAGCCATGACCGAACGTGATCCTTTGGGCAGAAGGTCTGGCCGCTTTTGGTCATACTGGCCTACAGAGGTGGCTTTTCTTGCCGCTCTGTGTTCCCCTGCCCATGCCCCCAGCCGGCTGAGGACGACTTAAGGAGGGACTACTTCTTCCCTGTCTTCTCTCACTGAACGTTGCAAAGAAATGCATAGAAAGCGCACCCCAAATAATGAGGACCTCGTGTTGCTCATGCGATATGAATTAATCTTAGAAGGGGGTGAGGGGGATGCTGTTAGTTTAGCTTTGGGTAGATGGAGGGATAAGGGTTGGGAGGGAGCAGGCACTTATCCTACAAAAAACCCTTGAAAATTTTCTCAGACCAAGATTCTTCTATCATAGTCCTCAACTTGGGGAGAAGATGTGTTTGGGCTTTATTTTTATTATTACAAGCTTCAGCCGTCTTCTTGAATGGCAAGTTGTTAAATGACACCTTCTTCATAAGTACATTTCCACTTTTTGAAACAAGATACCTCCTACAATGCTGATTAACGTTTTACTTTAGGAAGGGGGAAGGGTTAAAAACCAGAGAAGAAAGTCGTCTTGGTAAAGCATAAAATCCGTTCAGCACCTTTTTGGTTAATTTGTGCTTTTCACTACGTAACTTAGCTGCCTCGTTGTGAGGTGTTGTCGTCCATTATTTTCTTTATAAACACCATGAAAAAGGAACTAAAATTTTAAAGACATAGGAAAAAAATCCTAGTAGATTCTGACCTCCCTGAGAAAAGTGAAGGAGGCAAGGATGGATCTATGACCTGCTTCATTCATCTTTTTTTTTTTAGTTCTGTGAACAACTTTTACCTTTTCGCCTTGTTTCACTTGGCCTTTAAATCATTACTGATAAAACTCCATTCTCAACCAGTTTCTCACACTTCTGTTTTCAATAAGGGTGCAGTCAAGACATTCTAAAGTTCTTAGGTGGGGAGTGACCAAGAATTTAGCAACCTCTTTAGGAAAGTAGTACCACCTCCAGTATTAGGCCTTAAGCTGGGGAATTTTGCTGGAGGGCACACCCTCCATCAAAGAGGCTTGGACTTGGGATTTATTTGTACCTCCATTCGCAACAATGCCAGATTCAGTGGGTCAGCCAAGAACAGGCTCTTAGTCTCTTCTCTGTCCTTTTAGAATCTTTCACCAATGGATGCTCTTGTTTCCAAACGTCATAGATATGCCTCAGACTGGTATTTTCTTGCCTTCTAAAAACAGACCCGAAAAATCACACTCAAAGAATGATGCACATCAGAAAGGCAATTCACGCACATAATATTATCAGAGTTAAGATTAGCTTGGGCAGGGAATCTGGGGTGTGAGTCTGACAATACCGGGCACTGAACCTGTAAGCTTTTTCGGCCCTGATATGATAATAATGTCATTTAGGATTGGAAGTATCTTAAAAGATCAAATCACTTTTGTAACTCACACAGTAAGCTTTCTGTTCAGCTAGGAATGCAAAGTCAAAGCAATATAAACTCATTTACAAAAGATCTAAAGTATTATTTCTAAGCCTCATGAAAATATTGCTTATATATAACTGGTGGTATAATTTTATAGATCTGTTATTGACTGAAAAATGACTGGCCTTTGTGGTACTATGACTCACTTCAGACACTTTATATTATGATCTTTCTACAAAAGACTACAGTAAGAGTCAGACATAGGCTGTTTCTTTAAGAATTTATGGAAAATACATCTTATGACGGAGAATGAAAAAAAATTTAAGTACAAGATGTTTATCAGTGTTGCTTTTAATAATAAAAAAATGGAACACATAATGTCTAATAGTAATAGTAGCTAACGTTTACTGAATGTTTATTATATGCCAGGCACCATTGGCAGTGCTTTTCATGGATTACAATATTTTTTTTTATTCTGTTTTACAGCTGAGGAAGCTGAAGTGCAGAGTAAATTTTGGTACATGTGTAGAATGAAATACTGTAGAGCCATTACAACTTTGGATATACATGTAGATCTTTCTTTAGAAACCCTGAAAAATATAATTTTACACTGGATTTTTAAAAAACAGTTTCTGGAGGGGCATCTGGGTGGCACTGTCGGTTAAGCATCAGACTCTTGGTTTCAGGTCAGGTCGTGATCTCAGGGTCATGGGATCGAACCCCAAGTGGGTTTCGTGCTCAGTGTGGAGTTGGCTTGAGATTCTCTCTCCCTCTCCCTCTGCCCCTCCCACTTGTGTTCTCTGTCTCTAACATAAATAAATCTTTAAAAAACAGTTTCTGGAACAGTATGAATCCATTTATGTAAAATGGTATATATGTATCTATTTTTTACAGAGATGTCTAGAAGGATGTTAATGAAAGTGTTAAGACTATAGGACTGTAGGGGCCTCTGGGTGGCTCAGTCGTTAAGCATCTGCCTCCGGCTCAGGTCATGATCCCAGGGTCCTGGGATCGAGCCCTGCTTGGCAGGAAGCCTGCTTCTCCCTCTCCCACTCCCCCTACTTCTGTTCCCTCTCTCTCTGTGTCTCTCTCTGTCAAATAAATAAATAAAATCTTTAAAAAAAAAGACTATAGGACTGTAGTTTTTATTTCTTTTTGTACTTTTCTGTACAGTTTGGATTTTTAAAGTGAAATATACATCAATTTAATAAAAAGCAAAACATTTTAAGAAAAATTATTTCCTTTCCAACAAGCAAAACTGAAATATTTTCCTTTCATGAAAGCATATGGGACAATTTAAATGAGTTTAAAGTAGCACAGTTCTTTAAAAATGGCTCAGGGGAGCCTGGGTGGTTCTCAGTGGGTTGAACATCCAACCTTTGGCTTCAGCTCAGGTCATGATCTCTGGGTTGGGACAGGAGATCCAGCCCCCTTCCACTTTACACCCCCCCCCAGGTCAGGCTCCCCGCTCAGCGGGGAGTCTGTTTTTCCTCTCCCTCTTTCTCCCGCCCACCCGATGTGTGCATTCTCCCTCTCAAATAAATACATCTTAAAAAAAAATAAAATTAAAATGGCTCATATTTAATTCAGATTGAACATCTTCATGTAAGCAAAACTTCCATTTCTTTTCAGTCAGTGTTACGTCAGTGTTTTCCAAACATCTTAGTAAATGACCTGGGACAATTAGAAGAATTCTGGTTCCCACACTAGAGCAACTGATTCAGGCTCTTGGAAGAGAAGAGAGATTTTTAAGGTAATCCAATTTGTGAACCCCTCTCAAGAGCACCCAGTTGGAAATACGTACAGTATATCACTGCATTGCAATAGTGTAATGGTTCTGAATATTTGATAAAATCTATACAAAGGCTATATAGCAATTTTTTATTCAGAGTTGGAATCGCTTTCTGGTTTCTGCAATTTCATCTCACTTGGACAAGTTTTGAGACTGGATATTTCTGGGCCACAAATCTCAGCCCATTGTGGATTCCTCCCTCTGCCCCTGCAGTCCAGTTTCTATCTCTCCTTTTCAAAATACTTGGCTCCAGGAAGTTCCTGGTTTCCAGACTGAATGTTTATGCAATCACCAAAAAAAATTGTTTTAAAAATTTTAAAGCATGCTTTTACATCGGAACTTGGAGATTCTTTAAAGTGCAACTTTGATCTTTACTTGAACACCATTTGACAGCAAAAGGATTAAGCAATTGTGGGTTGTTCCATTATCCCTGCAGGATACATGAGAACTTCAAGGAATTATATATCACAGGAAAGAAACGCATTTACTGTGATTGAAAAACACAGAGGTTAGAAGGTTAGAAAGCCGACTTTCCGGTTTATGTCCCCAGGGCATGAACTAATCGCAATCTCTATGGAACCTCATTGAGAAACAGGGAGTAATCTTTTGTTCCTCACCTGTTGCTTGCTTTGCCATTAGGAAACCTCTCTTCCCTTTCCCCTTGGAACAGATCGAATAGTCTGATTATTTGCAGGTAAGCAACTGAAACTTGCTTTCTATGAGAAGTTCAATAGAATAACATATTTATCATTTTTAGTGTATTTTATGCGGCTTATGCAAGGTTAGGAGTTAATCCATGTTATAATTTTTGCTTAGGAGAAAGTAAAATGTTTTGTTTTTAAAGTTATTCAGCCTTTGAATATTTTCTTCTTCTTATCGATGATTAAATTATATGTCTCTAAAAATCAAAGCATATGTGATAGGCTATTATTATGAAACAGGTGGGGAAATGAAAGTTCAAAGACTTTTGAATTCAAAAAATGTTAACATTTTTGTGTCAAGTGAATGAGTCATTGTGCAAAAGGTATGAAAGAAACCCAGATCACAGGTTAGAAAAAACTTCATTTAAAAAAATTTTTTTTTTGAAAAGAGCAGTTCAGCCGTACTCTATGCCAAAAGCTGATTTTCACTTATGCTTGCTCTAAAAATGGGTACAAAAAAGCAACAGTTTCATGCTTTGAACTAATTTGTCATCTTGGACATCATTATGGGATATAGAAACGACAATCTTCACAAAAGTGAGAGGCCAGTTTTGCTTCCTTTAGTATCTTTTCAAATGTTTTGGCATTGCAATTGAAGTGATTTTATTAATATTTAGAAATTTAAAACCATTTCATCATTTCCTAATACACGTTTCTTAGCAACTATTTCTGCTTCAATCAGAGATACTATGCCTTTTTTTATACGCTTCACAAAGAAGTATCCTTTATAACTTGCAAACATGAATCTCAGAAAACAGATTAGATAGCACCCATTTTGAACTTCTTCACAATTTTCACCGTAATGCTTTTCATTTGCTGTGGCTGGCCTTTTGGGGTGGGGGGTGGGGGGGAAGAAAAATGCCTGGCTCCAAGAAGTGACCAGGATCCATATATCCACATTCAATGTTTTCAAAATCACTGCAAAATTAAAATTTAACTTTTTTTCATTTTCAGTTTTCATTTACTTTCAAGGTTTTTTTTGTGGTTATTTTGTTCAGTTTAGTAAATACAAAAAATTTAAACTAGTGCACAAACTGGTTCTCTGGTGAATGTAAATACCAGAACTTAAATTCACAGGAAAAAAAAAATACAATTTAAAAAAATCTGCAGTCACAGTTTCCTTTAAAACCATACATCAGTCCCCTTACAAAACCATGTCTTGTTTCTGGTGAAATGGATCCTTCCTTTATCTGACGTCAAGTGACTAAATTATTGTTTTCCTCAGAAAGACTCTTGGCTAGGGTTTCCACTTGTCTTTATATTTACTTAGTAAGAGGTGTCTGTGACTATTCACTTTCAGAAAAAGAAGAAAAACAGAGGAGAGAATCCGTGTCTTCAAGAGGGTGAGGGACAGTGTATCAAAATGGCCTGGAAAATGTTCAACATTAACGTCAGAAAGTCAAATGTTCACCTAGGGCTCAGCTGGGAAGAAACAAAAGAAAAATCACTAAGCAGTCAAAGAATGGCTTCATTTTTCTAGAAGGTGACCCTCCAGGAGAGTCCCTTAGCAACAGTCTTGAAGTTCCAGAAACTGTCCTAAACCCTGATGGTCAGCTTCGGCGTCTGTCTGGAACTCGAACTTCTTGACCGGTCTTTCTACCAGGGAAATGCATGTGGTGGTGGTGGCAACAGCCTTGATACTGCTCCTAAGCATGGGGTGGACCTCAGACTCTCTCTGCTCACCCACCATTTTTTACAGAGACTGTTGGATCCGTCGCTTCCCAGGGCTTCTGATTGACCTGGAGGAGTCTCAGAAGCTGGGAGCTCAGTTCCTGAAGTATTATTCTGAAAGCACCGGCCAGAAATGCAGCAGGAGCTGCTGCCTTAGGAAGGATGGTAAGTATTAATGATATGCCTGCGCAAAAATCAGGAGAAACTTATAAAATGAAGACCTAAGTAAGGAGCCCTAGGCAGAGGTTCCAGTGAACAAACAGATGAACAGGACTAGGGAAGATGAGGGAGAGACATGGGGCTGGGGGAGAGCGGGAGAGAGACTGAGACTGACTTTGCGTTTGGATCAGTGCTGGCACAGTTTACAAATCTGGTAATGATCCAGAATGCCATGGAACCTACAAGTAACAGAGAATCTTCTTCTCTTCACTAAAGTGCTACTATTTCCTCGATGGTTAACTAACAATATTTCCATAGTCCCCAAATATGGCATATTTGATTTCAAAAATATTTATAATAATTTCCTTTTCAAAGTTCTTTTGGTGATATTGGTATTTCAAATTTTTGAAATGTGCTTGCTTGTGTTGAGCAAATGCGGGTTGCACTGAGCAGGAATTTCGATTGTGACTGATGTTTTGAAAGACGTGGGTAGATATATGTCAAATAGCAAAAAATAAAGAAAAGAAATATATATATTAAATATTCTGAATTTTTTTGTCCGAAATCCAGAATCAGAGCATCATCCATGTAATATGATCAAGGCTTATAATGAGGAAAACATTTCATTATTGCAGAATTTCCAGTTACAATTGTCTAAAGACTTCTTTCATTCGTTTTTCATTTTTCCAAGATTTTAAAGCTACTTGGAAAGAAACAGCAAAAGCAACACAACACTTTAAAATAATTCTCTTGGTTCTTCCACACTTTCTTTCCATGGTTTGATACCAACTTATTAATTGCCAGTGCCTCCTATCCAAGTCTGCATGGAAGATTTCTGGGACGCAGATTGAGGCTACCAGAGGGTGTAAACCGACCACAGTGTGAGAAGCTGCCCCAGGCTAAGCCCTCAAAAATTAATCAGGCACACAAGAGAACAATTAATTTATTAAAGGGAAATTTTTTTTTTAAGAATTTATTTATTTGAGAGAGAGAGAGCACAAGAGAGCACACAAGCAGGGCGAGTGGCAAAGGGAAAGGAGAAGCAGACTCCCCGTTGAGCAGGGAGCCCAATGTGGGGCTCGATCCCAGGACCCTGGGATCATGACCTGAGCCAAAGGCAGAGGCTTAACTGACTGAGCCACCCAGGTGCCCCTAAAGGGAAATCTTTCTGAAAAGGTTGCCAATCCAGATTTTCACCTTAGAGATGCTTCTAATTTCCATAAGCCTTGAGGAAGGTGGGTGAGTGGGGGGGATACCTTTGAGCATTTTCCCATGGCATCAATTTACCTGACTGTCCATCGCAGGGAAACTTTGTTCTCTCGACTTCCAGGGATACTATAAGCATCCAGTAGAATTCCATGATTTTAGAGCCTCTGTAGCTTCCAAGTTGTGGTTTTCTTCCTCCAAAAGAAAGGGCACGAACACACGTCTTTGTTTTTAGCTGGAAGCCAGAACTTTAAAAAGCCACAGTCCTGCAATAGCTGACCTGTTCGGAACTGGAACTCTAAAGTCTACACAAAGAGGAATATAAAACATCTTTTAAAATTGCTCTCTTTACAGCATCAACTATTTTCTTATCAAAAATTTAGATGTCTAAATTTGAATATTTTTTAGTCCTTTCCCTTGAACTTGACAGCCCAGTCTTTAGGGAATGCATTTGTAATCTAAAATGTATTAGCAATGTATTATTAATTGAATTCTGCCCTCTTCTTTATTCTCCTGGATGCCCCAGAAGTAATGGGGCGGGGGGCGGGATGCAGCTCCCCACAGTTAACCTTACACAGAAGCGGCAAAGGTTTTGCCAACCACAATTCCACAACAGCTTTAGGCATACTCTGAGGTCTGGTAATTGTATGCTATTCCTCTGTAATCTTATTTTATTAAAGAAGTTGATACCTTTGGTCAATGGATATTTCCCAGCGCATGGTCCCTGCTACACTGCAGCAGAAGGAAAGCCTGTTTTGCACTTTAGGGAGGACAGACTGAAGACTGGCACCCAGCAAATCATACTTCAGGTTTTCCAGAAATAACATCATCCATTTTATGGAGCAAACTTATTTAGTAGAAGGGGGATGGCATCAGTGATGTACCCCTACCCATTAGAATTCCAAATGCTCACATCCTTGTCAGTAGACTCTCTTCCTCTTTAAAGGACACTGAATAGGCTTTTCATTGGATGTGTGATCTGCAACATGGGACTAGTGTTCCCCTATAATCAGGATCAGGGTAGTGTTCACCTGGCCTGCTGCCTTTCCACCATCTGGGCCTCTCTCAGTAATTGCAGTTTTTGCCTTCCCATGACTCCCTCTTTTGTTACAACATCTGTCACTTTATTTTCGTATTTCTTTCTCTGGTGAACTCCAGTGCCTTAGCATTCTGAGAGGGCACTGAAACTATAAATCTGATAAGCCCGAGGGGCTTCTGTAGCCAATTGAACTTTTCATGAACATAAAATACTGGGATTGGAAAATGATTCCAGGTAATCCTGTGTGGAATGGAATGTGTGAAAGATTAGAGAAAATCAGTGGATAGTTTCTTTTAAAAGGGCATTTTCCATATTCAGGGAAACCAGTTACTGTAGTTCACAATGTTCTGTAAGATGTCTGAACATAGCCCTGCAATATACTGCTGTTAATCCAATGTTCTGGGGGAAAGAAATATAAGTTACTCAGAGCTCATCAAGCTGGGAGAAACCAAAACCATCTGCAGATGCACTTTTCCTTTCAGTTTCCTGTAACGTGGCTGTCTTCTACCATGATCCTATTCATGACAATGTCAACTGCCTCCATATTCACTGCCCCACGCTGGAGAGCTGCATATTAGAGCCCGGAACCAGTGCCATTTTATACAACATAACAGAAGGTAATGATTTAAGTATTTTGTATTTATGTTGAAGAATGTTGGTAATGCTCTAGTAGAGATGTATAACGCTAGAAACGGGCTGGCAACAACCTGAATCATTATTTTCCAGCAATCTCTATCTGGAAAAGGTTTGGGCATCCAGGGCAGAAAACTAAAAGTAAATTCGCTTTAGTTTGGCATGCTCGGCAATGATGAGTTCATTCCAGATGATAACAAATCGTATGTGATTGAAGAAGAGCTTAAGCATTACGTTTATTCCAGGAGCCCCCAGCAAGAGCCAAAAAAGGCATTTCTACTGCAGGGGCTAAGTGTGCTACCAGGAATAAAGAAAATGCTTAATGGAAGTTTTGAGGTCCATGGACACTGCATACAAGGATTCCACAAAGATGGATGTCAAGGACAAGGAAATGCACTTACAAACATATATTAGCATACTAATGGTCCCAACATAACCAAGATATCCATTATTTTAGATAAATACACTCAAGTGTCCCTTGCCCATGTATATAAACTCAGGCTGCAAACTAGTAAACATGAAAGAATAGATTTTTTTTAAAGATTTTATTTATTTATTTGACACAGAGTGAGACAGTGAGAGAGGGAACACAAGAAGAGTGAGTGGGAAAGGGAGAAGCAGGCTTCCCGCCAAGCAGGGAGCCCGATGTGGGGCTCGATCCCAGGACCCTGGGATCATGACCCGAGCCGAAGGCAGTCGCTTAACCAATTGAGCCACCCAGGCGCACCGAAAGAATAGATTTTTGCCATCCAAATACAAAGGTGATAAATTTCGTCATCGATTTGTACTTCCTGAACATCTAATTCAGGCTGGGAGCAGCACTGCAGAAGATGGCAGCCATATCTCTGCCCTCGAATTTCTTACAATCTAGTTGCTGTGACAAATCTCACAATTAGTGTAGAATGTGTAACTGAATACCAAAGTGTGTGATACTGCCTCAAGTACAAGCACTCAAAAGAAGAGGAGACTAAAGAAAGCTAAATTCAGAGGCAGCTTTGTGGAAGAGGCCTGGCAGAGGCAAGATAAGGAGTTCTGTGTCACACCGCTGGAAAGTAAGAAAACAGGTCTGGCTACAAAAGGGGCACTTTTGGGGTTGCAATGAAAATCTGGGTAAGATAGGGTAGGCCAGGTTACAAAAGGGCTTTGGACAGAGCAGTGTTTTGGTTTGACTTTGTCAGCAATAGAGAACCAGCAAAGGCATTTAATGAGAAAATGCCATCATTAAAGTGATGAGTGTGGTTGTCTTTAGTCTAGGAAAATTATATGCGGGATGCAGATTAGAATATCTAGTCGGGGAGGCATTAGATCTGGAGAAGGTGACCATAACTGCAAATGAAGAGGAGGGATAACTACCAGCACTTTGGGAGGGAACTGGATAGGACCTAGTTACTTCTTGGATGAAGGAAAAGAAGAGAGGAGTCAACGATTCCTCTGCATACATACAGATTCCAGCATGGATGAGGGAAGATTGGTGAGGTCACTGAAAGAGACAGAGAGCCAGACAAAAGGATTTTGGCTTTGTGAATGTTCAGTGATGACATGAGATGTCAGGACCCTCAGGAGAGCACAGGAGAAATGAGACCGGAGACCAAGAAAGAGGAAATAACTGGTCATGTGGATTTCAGTGTCACCAATGTAGGTGGTGACAGTTGATGAGGATACTCGTGTGTGTGTGGTGAATGGGTGAGATGAAGGGAAAATTCAGCAGAAGACAAAGGACTAAAGATTGTGGAAAGCACACAACCAGTTTGGACCAAGGAGAGAACGAGCTAAAGAAAGAAAAAAATGAGAAGCAGGCAGTCTGAAGTAAAGTGCCAAGAGAGTCTGCGTTCCAGAGGGAGTCACAGAGGGGGAATTTTAAGGAAAGGATGGCCAGCAGTATTGAGGATAAAAGAGAAGTCAAAGCAATGAGGCTGATCAGGAAATATGGCAACTACTGATTACCTCAGAAACATAATTCTGACAGAATAGCAAGGATGGAACAAGATGGCAGAAGGCAAACAACAAAGAAAGGAAATGGATGTCTAGAGGAAGAGAGGGAGAGAGACAGAAAACTGACAGGAGAGACAATTGAAAAGCTGTTGAGAGGTTTTTTCTTCCCCTTTACAGATGGAGCAATATCTACACATGTCTGAAGTCAGAGGGAAAGTAGTTCCTTTACAAGAGAGAAAATACTGAAGACAAAGTCAGGACCCCCAGGGACTGGGAAGGGAGGAGACGGAGGGCTTTGCTCATGATTTTGAATACAGTTACACTTCTGTATTATTTATTTTTTAGAACTTTAAGATGCTATATATCTCAATTGGTTACTATCTTTTGCAATTCTTGCACTAACATTGGCTATTGTTACCCAAAAGCCCGGGCGGACACAAAGAATCCTCTATGTTGTAGCCAAAGTTGTTTATAACAGAAAGTGTTCTAGAAAGTTAAGATAAATTCAAATGTGGTCAGTATGTTTCTAAGCCTTTTCAGAAGTATGCAATAGTCGAATCTGAACTTAAGCTTAGTTCACTAACTCAGTGGCAAACCCAAGACTTCTCCAACCTGTGCTTTGAAGTTCTCTCCTTGAAATAAAAAATAAAATGAATGATGCCTTATTTATCTTTCAGGTATAGATCCAGATTTGCTGGTTTTTGAACAATCACCTCCCACATATCTAAATACCCGTTCTTCATCTAACACATGGGACAGACTAAGGATTTTAAAAACTACACATTTAGATAAACAACAAACTACCATGATAAACCAAATGCTACCATCAACAGAGGCACCATCATCAACCCCACATCAAGATTTGGTTGTCAACACAAACAATACCAGGTATTCCAAGGAATTAACCACAGATTCCTGGGCAAGACTCATTTCCCTGAATGACTCCATTACCACAGAGGTAAATATGGTGTCACACAGCACTGATTTCATCAATAACCCAGATAACAAGACTATTTCTCCTTTCTTTGTTCCCATAGACACGAAGCTTTTTCATAGGCCTATTCCATCCCAAGTGAACAGTAGCAAGCAATTACTAAACAAAACCAAGGGGTCCAACAGCAGAAACCACACATGTGAGAATGAAGACATGACACCTGAATGGGCATCTGTGACTTCAAAGATGTGGCTGGCTCCGGTGGCCCTCTGTACCTCTGTCATCTTTCTTTGCTGTTGTATAATCATCCTGGCGTCTGGATGCTGTAGAAAGCAGCAGGGCCAGTATAAGCCAGGACAGAGAAAGTCAGGATCCAGGCATATTAAAAAATTTAACACTCTAAAGAACTCTTAAGAGTAAAAGTTACAGGGAGATGGTAAGCTTTCAAGAGTATCATTTTTAGTTTTCTGTAAAACAAGGACTCTTTGGTTAAAAAAAAATAATTGCACAGGATGCGCACTCCTACCAATCTCTAAAAAAGGCCAAATGCTTGATAAACTTAAGTGCTTTTTTTGGATTATTTCTGTTTTTTGAACAGTGTACCCTTTGCCAAAGTTCCAAAATTCTGACCCCTGCAGTTATTTAGCACTGCATGAGAGATATGCTTCTAAGTACTGTACATGTATTCACTCATGGATATAATTTTATGAATTAGGTATACTTTTATTAACCATTATAGTATTATTATGACATTGTACAGATGAGGAAAATGAGGAGAGGCTAAATATCTTCCCTAAAATCACACAGCTAATAAGTAGTGAAGGCAGGACTTAACAGGTAATCTCGTTCAAAAGTTCATGCTTGAAATCAGATTATAAGCTTCCATTTTCCCAAAAAGCATGGAAAAAAGATACAGAGAGGAAAACACCATAACATCATATTTATCTCCTGTCAAGGTCAAATTATTGTCATGTATGTTAATAAAATCTTTTAGTGGTTTGGACAGAAGAGCGATATTATTACAGTTACTAACCCATGTGCAAACGCTGCCTTTTTTTTATACAGTTTTAATGTTCAATTGATTAATTCCTTTTAATCCGAAACCATCTTCATTTTTTTTAAAGCTGACATGGCTTTAAATAACTCTGGTACTGCAATCTTTGAGTTTTGTGTTATCTCTGTTGAATAAAGCTTGGGAGTTTTAGTTTACATCCCTCACGCGTGTGCATTGTTTTCCTAGGTGCAAATATTAGCTGTAGGTATTTGAGCTCTGTCCACCCCCACCCTGAAGTGCAGACACTTTAATTCAGTCAAGTCTCCAGTGATTTTAAACTTTAGGCCCTTAATCTAATCCTTGAAACTTCTTAAATGTGAGGACAGATATTAAAAGACAGCAAATAAGCATGAAGAACAGATAAGAGGAAATCCTGTTATAGGATTAATAAAATAGGACTGTTCTCTCGTATGTTAAAACAAATTGTCTGGTGGCTTAAGAGCTGTTTCTGTTTCTTTCCCTAGTGTTGATACTGTGTGGGGGAAATTTCTTTTTTTAATATGAGAAAGAAATACACAAAATATCAGTAGAATATTAGCCACAAATAAAAGTCTGAATTTAAAAATTTCATCAATTTACCCTTATTTGCTAGTCATGATATTAAATATCATAAATTTTATCAGTTTCCTTCCTAATTCATTAGGGGGAAAATGCTCATACTATGTAGGGAGGATATAAAGATTTAAATTATCCTAAAATTATATTTAATAATTCAGGAAGGAGTCTTTAAAAATTATTTGTACAGTCTTTTAAAAGATTATTTTTCTTTAAAATATATACAAGTTGCTTAAAGGTTTCCCAAAAAACCAGGGCTGCTAGAAAAAGGCTTTTCTTCCTTGGGGTTTCTCAGAATTTGCTCATTTCCTAAAATTGATAGTTTTAAAGAAATGACCATAATTTGAGAAAACATATTTACCTTTGTAAGAAAACAAATTCATACTCCTCTTCTTCAGTTACTACCTGTGACCATCAGATAAACTGAGGACATTTATTTGACTGTAGACACAACCAGACCAGAGTAAGCCAGGAAGCAAAAACTGCTGAGCCTAGAAACCATGCTCTTCCTGGAAGCCACAAGGACCAAAAGAGAACTTCTGAATAGAATTTAAAACTTTCTTAAGAAACAATCAGAGATTCCCAAGGCCCAGTCAACAACCAAGGCCAAGATTGTTACACTCAATTGCAAAGTAACCATGACACTGAAATCTTCCCAACATTGTAACTGGCCAGACCTCTTTAAAAAAGTCCGTAACTGTCCAGTATTATGAAATACTTACCAACGCTGGGAAGGCTATATGCAAAGAAAGAAAGAACTATAAAGCATGCCACAATTAAGGAAACAGACTTGTCCTATTTCTTAGTTGCCTACATGTTTAAGCAACTTCTGAGTTTTGTAATTTTAAGAGTTTGATGTCAGCAGTGAATTTGTATCAGTGCAGCAAATATCCCTTAGACTCGTTATAAGGATAAATATGATCATGTTCATTGTATATATTGGCTCAATTAATAGTTGAACAGATAAAGATCTGATTAATGAAAACCAGGGCTGTTTATTGCTAAAATTACAATGATCGCAACTGCTTTCCATTTGAGGCAGATCTGTATTAATCTCACAGCTCTAAGATTTTGCCATTAGGTGTCAGGGCTACAGCCTGTCTTCAGGTCAGTTGCCTGGAGATAGCCAAACTGCAAAGACTAGAGGGTACAGTGCTCTACAAGACAAGACACTGAGTATAAATCTGGAGCGGGGAGGTCTGTCTGAAAACCACTATCAGGTCTGATAATTCACTAGAATAATTCACAGAACTCAAGGAAAGCTGTTATACTCATGGTTATGGTTTATCACAGGGAAAGGATATGGATTAAAATCAGCCAAGCAAAGAAGCACATAGGATGAAGTCACAGAGGGTTCCAAAGTCATAGCTTCTGGTGTCTTCTCCCCCTGGAGGCAAGATGTGTTACTTTTCCTGTACCAGTGTATGATAATATGCCTCGAGTATTGCCAACCAGGGAAACCTGCCCGAACTTCAGCTTTCAAAGATTTTATAGAGGCTCTATTACACAGGTATGACTGAGTGATTACCTAGGTGGTTGATCTCAGCTGCCAGGTGGACTGATCCCAGCTGACTCAGTGCCCCTTGCTCTAAAACATGTGGTTTTTCTGGCATGGCTAAGACTGCCAGGTGTGGCCAGCCCCACCCTAAAATCCACTGTGACTGGCTCTCACCCTAAACAAAGATATTCCTATGAGGTATGACATAGATTACCTCCTAGAAGCTGCAGGCAAAGGCCAGACCTCTCTTTGGGCCAGGTCAGATTCTTTATTATACATCATTACTTCCTCTACTTTCATCTGCACTGTATTATTACTACAGGACAGATGACACTAATCCACCACCTATTTACATGTTCCTAAAAGATCATTTCTCCTCAACCTCTATTTTCAAAATGTTCCCGTCTTCAATCCGGTTTCTGCATCTGAATTTCCCTAAACTCCATGAATCTCTAAAAAATACATTTCAACACACAAAGTATGCTTTAAACCTGATCTAAAAGTTACTTAACTTTGCTTTTCATTTACTATTTCTATGCAGTGGATTACAATGTATCTCTTTTTTCAATCAAGGTCATATTATTGTACTTAATAACATACAGATTCTTGGGCTTGCTAATACCAAATCATACCTTCATTTCATGTAAATCCTTTGGGTAATTGTTTTCAAATTCTTTCTGGCTTAATGTTCTCTAATTCTGTTAGGCAAAATAAGAGACAAGTAACTAACTCAATAATTCCTCTATTTTAATTTAACTTAATCACTTACAACTTTGGAAGTGGTAAGAAATAACATATACTTTAAAATACTGAATTGAGGGGCGCCTGGGTGGCTCAGTCAGTGAAGCGACTGCCTTTGGCTCAGGTCGTGATCCTGGAGTCCTGGGATCAAGTCCCACATCGGGCTCCCTGCGCGGCGGGGAGTCTGCTTCTCCCTCTGACCTTCTTCCCTCTTGTGCTCTGTCTCTCATTCTTTCTTTCTCAAATAAATAAATAAAATCTTAAAAAAAAAATACTGAATTGGCAGCTAAATTGAATGGAATGTTTCATAGAACAGTTCTTATTTCGTCATTTGCTCCAATTAATTTCAAGGTCCTTATACCTCATCTCTTTTCTGAGCTGTAGAAACTCTAACTGGGGAATCTAAAGAGATGAATACCAGTTAATCTCCATTTCGACTCTTCTGCAAGTGTGGGCTTGGAGAAATGAGCCCCAGAAAGCAGAAAGAAGGATACTAAAATACTAAACAGTTGAATTAACATAAAGTGAAACCAAAAGAGAGGAATGGAGCAAACTTTTCAGGTTAGAAAATACTTCAAAGAACCTGTTTCTAATCAGAATTTTCATCTGTGAAAAATGCATTGGGTAGACAGCAGTTATATAAAAAAGCACTGAACTATATTCAGGGGACTGGATTCTTCCCAAATAACCAAAATCATTACGGCTGGTCCCGACTTACGACTCAACTTACGATTTTTCGACTTTACAATGATGTGAAAGCAATAACACATTCTAAGGAAACCACACTTCAAATTTTGAATTTTTATCTTTTCCCAGATTAGTGATATGTGATGATACGTTTTCATGATGCTGGGCAGCGGCAGTCAAAGCTCCTATCCAGCCATGCGATCTAAAGGTAAACAACCGGTATACTGACAACCACTTTGTACCCATAAAACCATTCTTTCACTTTCAGTACAGTAGTCAGTAAATTATATGAGATATTCAACACTTCATTATAAAATAGGCTTTTTGTTAGATGATTCTGCCCAACTGCAGGCTAATGTGAAGTGTTCTAAGCATGTTTAAAGTAGGCTGGGCTAAGCTATGTTTGGTAGATTAGGTGTATTAAATGTATTTTCAACTTACAACATTTTCATCTTAAAATGGACTTATTGGGACAAAATCACATCATAAGTTGAGGAAGATCTGTATTCAGAGGCAACCAATAGGTGTTAATTTGTAGGGAAAGAAATGAGACAAAATAATAATATATATATATATATATATGAATATTAAAGTGATGGCAGAAATAAAAACTTTCAAACCAGAAGGAATCACACAGATCTTCTAATTAATTCTACTGCCACATTGTACAAATGAGAAAACTGTTGAATAATCATTGCTGTGATGCATTAATATGAAAAAATATTTTAAATGGGATGTGGCTTCTGGAGTTAACATGTCAGAGGAGGAGAGGACCCTATGTTTGTTTTGTCCCTGGAATTCAGCTAGATAATTATCAAATCATTCTGAACACTTGCAATATCAACTGGAGATGTGATAAAAGAAATGCTGCAATGCTACAAATAGAAAAGCAGCCACTTTTTGGAAGTATTGTTGTCTTTTCTCTCTCTCTTTCTTCTATTCTTTTCTGGACATA